GAGAGAGAGAGAGAGAGAGAGAGAGAGAGAGAGAGAGAGAGAGAGAGAGAGAGAGAGAGCAGTAAAAGCTACTAGAGTAGCTTTGCAGTAGATAGTATGTGTAGGGTATAAACATACCCTGTGATGAGGAAGTAATCAAGAAAGACACAGAGCAGTAGAAGCTACTAGAGTAGCTCTGCAGTAGATAGTATGTGTAGGGTATAAACATACCCTGTGATGAGGAAGTAATCAAGAAAGACACAGAGCAGTAGAAGCTACTAGAGTAGCTCTGCAGTAGATAGTATGTGTAGGGTATAAACATACCCTGTGATGAGGAAGTAATCAAGAGAGAGAGAGAGCAGTAAAAGCTACTAGAGTAGCTTTGCAGTAGATAGTATGTGTAGGGTATAAACATACCCTGTGATGAGGAAGTAATCAAGAGAGAGACAGAGCAGTAGAAGCTACTAGAGTAGCTCTGCAGTGGAGTCTAATCTACTGCAAGAAGCTTAACGCAGGAAATCATTTATTCTGATCTGCAATTTGTCTTCAGCATTATCAAGAATAGCTCAGCTCTAGAAGCTTTATCTGAGAATAGAAAGCAAAAGAAACTTACTGCATAATCCACAGCATGGTGCGAATAGAACGTGGAAGTCATGTTCACAATACTTTCTGCCTTCAAACTGAAAACGTGAAACATTCAAGCGATATAAGACACCAGTGTTATAAGCACACATGTCGAATACATAAGGAAGACGTGCATAAACATGACGTTCTCACGCTTATGAAAGCGTGTGTATATATATACATATTAGCTCTTGATTATATGTGGAGTATGTAGTCTACACTCATTAAAATGAACTGTGAACTATTGCTGCAAGATGATTGCTTTTACATATGATTCACCTATTTATAATTAGTAAAAGGGAACAGACTATAAATAAAAAATAAAAATACACGGTGAAGAAGATTAGGTTGGATTAGCATAGAAAATATTACCAATTCATAGTAGTGAAAGAGAGTAAGGAAAATTTGATTAGGTACAGATAGCCTGGTGGTCTGCGACGCTTAGATTTTGGTACTTGAACTAAGAAGACTCACCTCGTAAAATACTCCATCGGGAAATGGTTGGAAGCACTGTGCACAACTGCCATGAAAGGAAACATCACTCCATTATCGTGTACGACTAATCGAATATTTTTTGCTCCATAATGATGAATATATTGATGATATATGAAAGGCATGTACGATTTATTTGCATGTGAGGCCATCTGGGGCAGATTGACCATGCATACTAAGTCTATTATTGATCCCTGTACCAATACATCCCAAACTCCCAGTTGACATGGTCACCGTTCTATTACATATGAATTACATTATGTTATGACCTGTTGCTTGTGTGATTATAGATCCACATGATTCTTGTGTTCAAGCAAAATACTTAAATTTTTACCATAAAAATTCATCTTTTACCTGTTTATAAGCAGAGTCAAAATCTAATTTACTTGTCCTTAACTAACCGTAAAATTTTCTTCTAAAATATGAATATTGCCCTTTTTATCGCCTTACAATGTGGCATGTGACATGACTTGGGCATGTATTTAAAGTGTAACAATAACATCTCTAATTTTGCCCCACCTGCCGTGACACTATGTACAGTCACACCCACGTTAAAAGACAGTGGACCTCTACAGAATGGACACCTGTCTACGAAGGACACGTTTGCATTGTTGTAATGTACTCACACGAAGCATTTGGTGTGCCACACCTCTCCTCCGGAATTGACCATCTGCTCATGGGCACCAAATCCCTCGCTGCAGCGCGCGCAGATGGCATTGCCTAGCGACATTGTCCGACTGCAACAACAAGAATCCAATCTCAATTAAATGGCGATTCGTTACGCGATGCGTGGATGCCATCTCCCAGGTGGCGCTTGGTGGGCTGAATAGTAGCTAGAATTCGAACATATTCACATGAATGAGAGATAACACGATTGTACTACATGGCAGCAACCACTGGGCACCAGAAATACGATAGAATAGCCCAGTTAACTTAAGTGCACTTCCAACTATTGGTTTCTTGTAATACTTTATACCATGAACGTACATGTATGTTAGATTTTAGTCTCAAGTATACTTGGTTCATGATTATATATTTATTATATAATTAAAAAATGTGTTTAATTTGATGCACCATTTTTTTGCCAATCATTGCATTACTTTGATTGGTAATTCTCAATCGTAATGATATGTAAGAGATTGAACTAATGATGCATTTTTGGCTAAAGAATCAAAATAGGTAAAAAAAGTGAAGAAATTTCACTGACAGGCTCACTTCATAAATCCACGCGCACTCTCAAATATTAACATGCGAACAGGTTGAATATTGCCTCTGGGACACACACACATATGACCCACATTGCAGGATTTTACGCAAGAGATCACAAGGTGCAACTGGATCATGTCCAAGTAAAATTAATGATATTAATCATATATCGCTACACATACAACAGCGTGTCATACCATACATAATACGGCTGAGAACTACAAGGGCTCTATGGGTGTTCTACATAAAGTATGCTATTAGATTTTCATAGAAGAAATTCTTTATACTTTTTCACATACAACTTGTAACGTAATGGCCGCAGGGAAAGGAAACTAAGTGAATTTTAATGGAAGGCCGTGACAACATACCACAGAGTCCTGCCGTCTGAATCACTGCTGGGAATGTCTGCCTTTCATAGGCAAAGTGCAAAACTACACATAGACAGAATGATATTTCCAGTATTACCACACAACACATACACCGGACTCTATACGCTGCGACAACAACAGAGTAACAAAAAATGGTATCGTTTTAGAACGGAAACAATGTTACTGATCCCCCCTATAGGTCAGCTTACTGGTTAAGTAAAAACAATCCGTAAAACGTTGGTACTGTGTGAACTGTAATTTGTTTAGGACACTGGGATTTCTGGAGTTTTTTAGGGACTCGGATGTCAGCAAAACTCAAACGTTGGAATACAGTACTGTAGTTAGGAAGAGACAATTACAAGAAGCTACAGCATTAGAGAGCCCCGTAACATCTCTTGTCATAAAGCTCATTCAACTACCGTGCTCAGCTACCATGTTACAAGAGAGACTACCTTGCAGCATCTCTCGTTACAAAGTTTGATCCACATTGCATCAGCTGTCACCTAACACAGTAGTGGACTGCCTTGTCCAATCTCTAGCTACAACTACCTGGTCCACACTCCACTCTCTCAACGACAGCCCCACACGTGGTGCTTGGGATAGACCTTAGAAGCAACCACCTCTGATGCGCGTCCAACCAGAGCCGCACCGACGGCGCCACCACTTACGCGTCTTGTCGTCTGTTTCGCACCGTGTCGTTCGCCGACCGAGTCCGTCGCTGGTACAGCTCGCTGGCGCTGATCGGCTGCAGACGAATGCGCGGCTGCGGCGTGCCCCCGTGCGCGCCCCGCCGGCCACCGGTGGCGCCCTCTCTCCTGTACCCCAACATCGACGTGGCCATCTTGTGGTCGACTTGCGACTTTAACCTTCGGAAGTAGTCGGAGATCGCAGAGCGACGCCGGGCGAACATGGAACTATGAACGTGTGGAACGAGCTCTAGCAGGAACCGAGAGCGTTCTTGGTGTGCCCACAGCGTCTCTCGCCGCACGTCGTCTGCCGTGTGTATGCTCCGTTGATTGCTTACTTTACTGTTGACCTTCCGCAGTTCGTGTTGTGTCTATGTGCTGTTGATTGTTGATCATGTGACGTATGTAACAGTATGTTCCGTAGTTCGTGTGTTGTGTGTATGTTCCGGTTTTTGTTGCAGAAAGTCTCTGGTCTGTCTAGCGACGCGACACAATGATCACAACAGCAATTGTCAACATGAAAACCTGTGTTTTCTTTGTGGTGTGGTCTATATATATGCTTGCAACTCTCCTCCCTCTTCTTTAACAGTAACACGTATACACTTTTACACAATTTGAAAGAAACGTTTCTGATATCCGAAGCTCTGTTTTCGTTTAGGTATGCCTCCTTAAACCGCTTCTTCTTCTTTCTCTTGTTGTTCTTCTTCTTCTTCTACCTCTTCTTCTTTATATTTCTTTACTAAAGCCACGTTTACACTTGAATACAACTTGAATGAAACGTTTCCGATATCCGATACTCTAGATCTGTTTTCGTTCCAGGTTTCTCTATCAGCTCACAGCCTTGAGAATGAAGCTAGCAACTCACACACAAATTTACATTTCTCACACCGCCTCGCTGGGAGAGAAAACACGATCACAATCACAGCAGTAGAAGTTTGTAAACAGACGAACGAGCAGCAGCTGTAACTACACGCAGTCAGTCAGACAATGACGTGTGTGCTTGGATGTACGTCACTTCCTATTCATGTAACGCTCTACCTTATTTCTGGGCAATATGACGCATGTCCCCTCCGCGCGCTAGCACGAGTTAGAGACGCCCGCAGACACCACTCGAAGAGGAAAGAGCGCGGCCTAATATATATATATAATCCATCCAAGCTCGTCACGCTTGCCCGCGACAAGTGCGTGTGGGCGTGAAGGCATTCTAAACACACAATTCACGCCTATCGATGTGTGAGATCCATTTTTGCAGTGCCTGCCTTAGAATCGGTATGATCACGAGGAAAAATGCGGGCAAAAACCTGCCCACACAGCTACGCCGACAACACCTACGCGCCCACAGCCAGTATTTCTGCGTGTGACAGGTGCACAATAACCACGAGTCGGGGAGGCTAACCCCACTGCACCCTTGCACTTTACTTGCTACTTAGCGACCAATATTTACTTAGCGATTTCATCTACTATCACTGACAACAATTGTTGCACTGGCAGCCACGTAATAGGGTCAAGCCTTGTATGCGGGATAAGACTGGAGAACATGTAGTATACACGGGTCTATGTGGGATTGTGCAACATCAGTAAGAAACTACGCAGTTGTTCTAATAGACCAGTGTCCAGCGTTTGCAGTGACCCTTTTTGTCATCATAAGCAATATCGTGGGTATACTTGCGAACAAGTACCTTAGTAGGGTGATTGTAGCACGAACATATCTATACTCTATAGTAGTATTTATAGTCAGATAATAATAGTATAGATATGCAGCTTATGCTCATAATACACAACAAGGCAATATACTCAACGTTACATTGTTGATTTGTGGGGAAAAAACAGTCTATTGGCTGAGCAGTAGCAAGTGTTATGACAATACCCACTATAATGAAAACAAACTGACTAAACTAATTCATGGGTTTCATCTTAAATCTTGAAACCATTGCAGCTAGATTTTAAAACGCAAATGGAATGCAACCATAATGCATTATAATAATACAGGTTTGGAGAAGTGTGCGTGTGTTTGCTTTATAATTTATATGCTTGGTGCACAACCACATAACTTCTTTCACTATTGCCCTTCAGTTTCATAAACACCCCCAAGCAATCAGTTTCCATTAAGGTACAAGCATTGTAGAAGTAGACAGTATTTTGGCATATATTGGCATAACCTAGCTGATTATTTCTATGTTTTGCATTTGCGTGTTGTGGTATACAGCACGCAAATGCAAAACATAGAAATAATCAGCTAGGTTATGGCAATATATTCCCGAACAACTAAGCGCACTAGTGGAAGAAGAGGAAGAGTAATTGCAATCACGATGCAACATTTCAAATGAAAGCAATAACAAAACTAGCATTTCGTTATCCTGTTGATCGCCAAATATTTGCCAACCTACAGTATCAAGCATAGTTCATTTTCACTATAGTAATATATAGGGGCAATTAAAGAAAGGTATAGAAAGCCTAACTATAGTAATTTCTAAGGTTAAATTGACTACGTCACGAATTTTCTATGGCGATATTTGTAAAAAAATTTGTTGCCATTTTTTTTTTACATTAATAGTAAGTACTAACGCGACTAAATGTATCGTCAAATTCTTACCTGATAAGATTGTTTCTCAACTAGTTAAAAATCCAAAAAACCTGGACGATTTGATATTATTATCCTGACATTAATTGCTTGCCATGGCCGGGCTATGTAAGAGTCACGAGTGTATGTTTACATCGAACAATATAGGAATATAGAAAGTATAATGCAGCAATTTAACCATAAAAAGTGAACAGAATTACTTACACTTTGTGAAAAAGTGGAAATATTTTTTTTAGTTTTACTATTTACGGTGACGTAATCACTTTAACACTCACATTGAAAAACTCAACATCAAGAACTCAGCTTGACTCGCTGTCCATGACATATATGCTTGCGGCTGGCTGCGAGAGATGAACAAATGAATAGTAAGGCGTGTTGTATTACACCCAAAGCCAGTGTAAGCTTACTAAACACATCTGGAAATGTGTGAGCCTATGGACTTAGTAATTCTGACAACTAAAACTCTAACGAAACTACTAAATATGACAGTAGCACAAATACATGGTGGAAAAAGCTGTCGGATAAGTGAACAATTAAACAACGGTTTCAAGCTTCCTCCCTTGAAAATATATTCGTGCAGACAGCCCTATGGCATACTGTGATGTGCAAATTCCTTAAATCACATATGAAATACATTTTGTGCCTGTAAACCAACTGCATGGGTCAAAATCCTAAGCGGCCCACGGGCCCGATGCCCGTATTTTAAGGCTCGGGCTTGACATTTCTAATACTAACAAGCCTGACGGGCCGGTAGAAAATCCACCCCAAGCATGCAAAACCGTCCCCAGTCTATAAAATTTGCCTCACGGGGCTGTAAAATCCCTTTCCTACAGGCCCGGCTGGCCTGTAAATTTTCAAACTAATTTCTACCCCTGACCTGTTATTTTTTTTATTTATACAAACCCTGTGCTTAGCCATAGTAACATGAAAATATCTCTACCACGGGTAGAGATTTCAGTTGTGGCACGAGTCACATGGATTAAGAGTGGAATAACGATTCCAATTTATCGATAAAACAAATATTTGCTGTCTACGCGACATTTTACCAGTCATCTTTCAAGAACACACTAATATGGTGATACGTGTGGAACGTGTAAAACAGTCTGGCTGTTGACCAAGTTCCTGTTAGCATTCTGAATAACTGATACACAAAAACAACTGTGTAAAGAGCAACCAGCATGAAATTGCACACATGGCTGGATCTGCATGGGTGAGGCTTATTTTTTCCATATCGTAAACTTTGAAGCCAGTAACCCAATATGGGATATCATGAGTGCACTAGCAACTGAATTCTCAGACACCTGCTGATATATCGCCCACTGACAACGCCATCACATGGCTCACTCACTGTGATTGGTTCACTGAAGCACAGTATGTTTTGGTATCAGTCTAGTTTATCTGTCAGTTGTATGGATGGCTCATTCGGCCAGGGTAAGTCAACAAACCTTGGGTTGGTATAGATTGGATGTGTACACAGCGTTCATATACTAGGGTGTGGAATAGGTGTAGTAACATATATATATACATACACATAAATAGCTATATAATTACTCATTAAACAATGTTTAAATATAATAATTTATTACTAGCTCCTATAGCAACATACTCATCCCATCAATACTTGTATTATGCCGCCTACCCTAATACACACAATATGAATGGTATAACCAAACGTTTACAAGAAAATTTTAATCGTGCATACCAAATGTTTTTATGTATTACCAAATATATTACATATAATCATTATCCTCTAAATATATACTGTACATTTCATATGCACTGGTGTATCTTTTGTGAGACATAACTTTGGGAATTTATGGTGGGAAATTTATTGGGATTTTTTGTGAATACGCGAACATTTGTTAAAGGAATAATAGGTCCATTGATTATGCAATGTTGACGAATGCTAGAGTAACTGGCACCTTGTGTAGTTAATAAGTACATTACCTTATAGCCAAACGATTATTAGTTTGTCCAATATCACTGCTGGTTACATTACAAGCAGTGCTCGAAATAAGAAAAAAAATGTGGTTGTCCTGCGGACAACCCCGGCATCAAATCGGGTTGTCCGCAACAATTTCTGGTTGTCCCAAAAAAAAATCCCCAAATCTCCTATTTTCAATCACAATAATAATATCAGAAAACACCAAAATTTGGCGTAGCCAGGATTTTTTAACAAGGGGGGCCAAAAACAGCGAACTGCGCAAAATAGTGATGACTTAATATTTCACTGGCTCCTCCGCCTCCCTCTCCACACCCTACGGCTCCCCTACCTCTCAGCTCTGCAATCTTTGTTTTGGGCGCCATGCGAAAAGGCGGCATTTTTGTTCATTGTTCTCTGCTCCCAAAATATGTAATGTGTTCAGTGGCGGGTCTAGGATTCCAAGGAGGGGGTGTGAAAAACAGGCGGGGGGTATGGGGGTCTCCCCAGAAAATTTTGGAAACTTGCTGGTTTGCTGGTTCCAAATCGAGTTCCCCTCTCATAAATCAGAAAACCTGACATATGATATTATACCAGTGTTGGAAATAGCAGCTGGTCCCATATTTTTATATTATTCACGATTTAATTCACGATTAAGATTTCTTGATGAGCTAGAAAACACTCGGATTTGAAAGTATGAAACTGAACATTATTGTGCCAGCTAGCCTATACCAGTTGGTTGCATGGGATTGATTGTCAGTTCAGATGCAAAATATTGAAAGCAAAAGGTTATACACCATAGATTAATTGGGTACCACGCGTATATAAGATAGCCGAGTCGGTTTAGAGTTAGTGGCAGGGTTAGAGATAGGGTTTCTTGGTTGTCCACCGGACAATGTCTCAGACTGGTTAGGTTGTCCGTCGCAAATTCTGGTTGTCTCGGACAACCGGACAACGCTTATTTCGAGCACTGACCAGCAAGACTTGAAATCGGTTGTTGATATGTATCAAGAGCTCATAATAGAGAAGCGTTTATCAGCATTTAACAGCGTTTTGCATAGTTTTCAACTTGTAAATATTCTCTCAATATGTGAATAAATATATTCAAACTTTACCTTGTTTTCGTCTATGATTCTCCCTTAATCATATGACACCACCAATTTACCTGAAACGCGTATGTGTTTCTTCAAAAAAGTTCTTTGAATATGACACGGTTTCACAGTTTTCTCAAATGATCGCATGTATCCGCACGTGCACACGGGGTACACGCGGGTACACGCACGTACACGCACGTACACGCGGGTGCACGTGGGTACACGCACGTACATGCTTCTTTTTCCTTTTCCCATTTCCTATTTAGACTTTTAAAATAGGAAACGGATCAGAAACCCATTTCGCCATTTCCTATTTAGACTTTAAAATAGGAACGGATCAGAAACCATTTCCTATTTTCTATTTCTTTTTAAAAATAGGAAATAGGTCAGAAACGCCATTTCCTATTTGCAACGTCAAATGGGAAAACAAACTAACGGTATGTACCGTGATTACACCCGCTTCGCCGGCAGCGGTTTGAAACTCTAAACAACTGATTTTTGGACTGCGGATTTCAATATATCATTTCTTAGTAACAGCAGTGATATTGGACATACTAATACGCATTTGGCTATAAGGTATGTACTTATTAACTCACACAAGGTGCCAGTTACTCTAGCATTCGTCACATTGCCTAATAAATGGACCTATTATTCCTTTAATTTATTTTATATTTTTGTGATCATTACACCTAGGGTTCTCTCTACGTTGCGCAAGGAACGGGCGCGCGCGCGGCCCCGTTTGGGAAAATCTGCCCTGTTTCAATCGTTGCGCCCGCCGTTTAAATCCTCCGCCCCGATTAAATTCCACCACAATAAAAGTTTGCCAGCGAGAGAACCGATCGTCAAGAATTCCCATTCGACCAGGACAACTGGCATGTGTATTTTAGCGGTGCCACGCATGCACTGCAGCAATAACAACAGTACAAACAGTCAACCTGTCCCACACCAACACTAACTGTACACAGACTCGGCTATCTTATATATACAAGAACCCCAAATACCGTCTATGGTGTGGTGACGATTTTACGCATTAATTAGTAGTACGGTAAAAAAACACGCATTCCCGGACCCCCCTAGTTTTCCCCCTCCCCTCCCCCTCCCCTCCCCTCCCCCTGTTTTGAATTTCATCCTGGGAGAACCCTGCACATGTGATTATACTTTCGAAGTATGGTGGATACACCAGGGTGCGTGGAAACATTGGTGCTAACTAGCTTCCTCATTGTGAATAACAAGTTACACAATTTCTAGAGTAATTTCTATATCACATGTACTATTTTACGTTACCTGTGGCTGTTCCGATTGCGCGAGTTTTTGTTGAATTTCTCTCAATCAGAAAAGAATGCCGATAGAAGACTTGCTTTAAGAAAAGTAACACTGCACGCGTGAGCATGGGTCAGGATGGTAACTGTAAAAAAGATTGGCACACAATTCTAGATCGATCACAAAAAAATTGTCTTCACCACGAAATCGTTATAGGTTTTGCATGACTAATTCTTCTGCGTCTGTTATTGGCTCATGTAGTTACAATAATGTAAACCCAACAAGAGTAGGGAGAATCGCAGAAACACCTACTCTTGTGGGTTAACATTATTGCATCTACTCGGCCCATGGTACTACTACTACTACTACTACTAGTAATACTACTACTACTACTACTAGTACTAGTTATTACTAAATTATGGGGCATACTTGCTACACTGCTTATCAGTTATAATGATCATTGGGAACTGCGCTACATAAAATAATATAAATGTACTAATCCGGGGTGGCTAAACTAGGATTGGGCCACTGCATGTTTATCACACATATAATTCTGATCACATTTCCATGCTGCTCAAACAGTGAAAACAGCTGAAAGTGAAACACTTGACTTGGGTACTATTACTATCAGTATTACTATTAAAGCCGCGCACAATGCGCATCCAAACGCTAATTTTTCCAGTACAGACTAGACAAATACTTCGTGTCATGCATAATCAGCACTACTTATGACAAAATAAACTCTAGTTCCTCCCCATTTCAGCTGGCGCGTTGTGCTTATAAAAGGTATTTGAAGAATACCTCCAATGTTGTGTGACAGTTTCCGCCAAGCAACCGTGCAGCGGTGCTGCGGTACAGCGGTACGGGTGTAGCAAAGATAAAACATGTGACGTCACCTCACCACTTCGAGCTAAATTGTTTGGCAAACAGTCGCGTTTGCGCCAGAATGCCAGTTTTCTCACCTCTTTCTGGCCAAAGGATAGAGAACATGGGTCCAAATAAAACCAATGTGCCTAACCCTAACCCTAACCCTAACCCTAATCCGTAATCCTAACCCTAACCCTAACGCATAACCCTAACCTATTATATTGATATAATATTATATTTATATGATGTAAATGACATTGGTTTTATTGGGACCCATGTAATGTTCTCTACTCTAGTCTATCCTTGAACCGTATTCACGTTATTGGCCTTAGTTTTACTACTAACTTAGTAACTACTATGATTACTATTAGAAATACAATGAACATATGCGCATTAAAATATAATGTACATAGGCTTATAGAATTACACATGACATTGACATTGTTATTAATTATTAATTACTGATTAGCTTACACGATTGGGATGCAGTAATCAACAACTCAACAAAAATAATCACGGCGGGCCAATTTTCCCACCTGGTAGTGTCTATTTATCCCATGACGTTTAATATCAATCTTCTGCGGCGAAATCGAAATAAATGATAAATTTTAATTTTTACTCCAAGATTTATTTATATAACATTTATATGTGTAAGAATGTTACTTATATCAGAGCACATAAATCACCTTGCTTATATTTCTTAAACTGGGATTTTGAACAGTAAATAGAATAATTATTCTGCTAAGGCTGCTGGGAGGCGTAAATAAACATGGCAGCCTTCACGAAGATGTTGTGTTTGGGAATTTTCTCGCAAATATCATTGATTTTTGCAGAAAATATGATAAGTTCAGAACCCATCGATGAGAAGGTCGAAGATAAGGTCAAAAAGAATCATATCATTGATAGTGTTAATATGCTCATATTTTTGTTTTTGCTTATTTTAACTACTGTTACAATATGGGCGTTTAAGTATCGGCGAATTCGCTTTCTACACGAAACAGGCTTGGCAATGATTTATGGTAAGTTAGACAAGGTTCGACGATCCTTAAGAATCCTTTGAATATTCTAAAATCGTGAAGCCATATGTGTCTAGTTGTCAGTTACACAGTAAGCACTGGCAGGTTAAATATCTGATGCATAGAAAGTGAGTGATGCCTTGGCTCTCATGAGTCATCATCATATATCTCACTGACGTACATACATACAGGTTTACGACGTCATTTTATGTGCCTGAAAATGAAGCACTCGTCTGCTACACGTCTCACAGAGTAATGCACAGTTTAGTATCATTCTGTAAAGCATGTAGATGTGTGCATTATTTTGAGATACATAAGGTCAGAAGTAGATAATACTAATAGGGAAGGAGTGTGACTTCAATAAACAAGGGGAATTCGTCATTTACTAGCCTTAGAATACCTACGATTTAGAAGTAGATAATACTAATAGCGAAGGACGTGTGACTTCAATAAAACAGGGGAATTCGTCATATTACTAGCCTTAGAATACCTACGATTTACTACGCGTAACTCAACCAACTTGAGCTCAAATCGTACACAGTACATTCGCCTAGCATCGTGCGAAATTGTTTCCTCGTATACACCCGCAATCCGGAGATACAGACTAAAACGTACGACACGATTATCCATTCTGTTGCCAGCAAACCGAATGTATAAACCGCCTAACTTGAAACAAAAGGCAGCTACTAGCGAGCCACACCGCATTGCCGAGGGAGCAAGAGTGCGCAAGAGTCGCTAGTAGCTGCCTTTTGTTTCAAGGACCCCCCAAGATTTTTTTAAAAAATTTTGGTGGCATTCTGAGAGCATGTGAGGCAGTAATTTTGATGTCTAGAATGCAAAAATTTATCAGATCCGGTCCCCCGGACGCCTGCGGACCCCTCTTTGCCAATTTCTAGGTTTTTATAACAAATTTACATATATATAAGTAAATCTTTATCAGAAAAACTAGTGCTAAACAAGATTGTTTTATGGAGACAATATAAGAGAAGTCTGTGTTGTGTGTGTTGTGTGTGCGTGTGTGTGTTTGTGTCGTGTGCCGCGGCGCGTGCGTGCGTGTGTATGCTTTTTTTCCTTTTTTTGTGGTAAAAAGGGGGGGTCCGGACCCCCTCGACCCCCCCTCTGGATCCGCCCCTGCAGTCGACGTACTTTCGAGCCACGGCAATTTTTTGGCAAAAATGGGAATTGCCATTAGTCAGTTCAAGTTCAACGGATTTTGCTCATTTTTGGTATGTGAATGAATAAGGGCTAGATTTTTAATAATAGGGTTTTGATATTTAAAAAAATTTTATGCAAATTAGGTAGGGTTTGGCAATTATATAGCATATTATATAGACACGCAGAAAACAAACAGTCTGTGGTGTCACACTTGTCTGGTTCATTTTACAAGATTTCATTGACAATATCTTTAATGCAAAATTCCTGCTATGAAACTATGATTTATACTATTATTATTATGATATAATGATTTATGCTAAGAAACATCAAAGCGGGTATAGCACCATCTACCGTCACAAATTGTGATTCATTTTGGTTTATAAATTATTATATAATTATATATAATATTATTTATTATTTTCACATAAAAAATTACACATATAATTATCAAGAGTATATAATGGGCGTTCTCCCATTATATACTCTTCATTTCTATAATGTACGTCGATGGTTGCTCAATTAAAAACTGACTTCTTCTCACTCACTCATTTGTGTCCTTTTTTGTGGTGAGCTACAGTGTCATTGACACTTTCATTTCATTAGGGAAGAAGACCAGGTTGCAACAATTTATTGAGGGCATGCTGGTTGGAAAGATGTTTTATTTATACTTGCTTTTATTTAAATTTACAATCATAAACTTTTAGTTTAGACTAACCTTTTCTTAGATGTTAGACCATTGGAACTCTCACATTTGCCAAGTAGTTGCTGCCAGAGAAAAAGACAGGCAGGCAGCAAATTTACTCACCTAGGCAATATCTTTGGTGCTTTTGCTATGGTTTATTAGGAATTTATTTGCAGCAAATATTTGCTGCAGACATTGAGAGCAGGCAGCAAACTGGCCATTGTAGGCAGCAACACTGCTGCTTGCTGACTTTAATTTTAGATGTGACTTTAATAGGTGTAGGGATTAAGCAGCTACATTGTGTTCTTTCCATCTGGTTATCAGGCCTTGTTGTTGGAGCAATCATCAGGTACGCGTCACCAGGTATAGCGAGAACGCACTTTGTTACAACGCTACCTCAGTATGAAAACTTCACACGCAACGATCCTCCAGATGGAATATGGCTGAGCATTCGAGATAGAAGTAACCAGACTAGTCGTAACACAACATTTGAGTACTCGTATGTGGGGCAGCTATATGAAGAAACAGAAGATAAGGATCTTGAAGCGAAGGTTTGTTATTTATTTAGTATTAATTTTATCTAAAAGTACATCTAATTGAGATAAATTGTGTGCGTAAGATAATACTACATTTTAAATAGTATGCAGTAGTACAAACGTGTTTTTTGGCCAGATTTTTCAACAGTGGCGTACATTTTAATGTTCAGTGAATTCTGGTATCTTTTAAAAACATTAATTCCTAGTTCTAAATATTGGTTACATGAATTTAATAGACACTTGGCGCAAGCAGATAATGCTGACTATGTCTTCACAGGCAACGTTTGATCCGGAGGTATTTTTCCAAGTTCTCTTGCCACCTATCATATTTCACGCTGGCTATAGCTTAAAACGACGGCACTTCTTTCGCAACCTAGGCTCCATCTTTCTATATGCCTTCCTCGGAACAACAGTATCCTGCTTTGTAGTTGGGTAAGTGTTTCATCTAAGAATTCCGAAGCATCTGAGGGCTGATATTAAGCCTGTGAAATGCTTTCTTCAATAATTAATCATTCCACATTAAGAACACGATGGTCTAGAATAACACGAGAAAAACTGTTTGTGAATCACCTAAACGGTTTCATAATTTATAGTGATTTCCTAGAGCTTTTTTAATAGTATATGAGACTGCAAATCGTGAGGTCTAGTGTGGTGCTTTCTGTGGATGTGAGTGTCATTTTAAAATCATGTGTTGCTCTTCTTTCTCAGGTCTCTCATGTTCGCCTTCGTACAGATGATGCCATATCTCCCATTCAGTTTTAATGATTGCTTGTTCTTCGGTGCAATCATCTCTGCAACGGATCCAGGTATCATTGGGAAATTAACGAGATCTGAAGCGATTATAGATGGATAAATGATTACCGTACAGTTAAGCCTGTGATAGAGGTCACATTAACAGAATGGACACTTATCTATAAAGGACAGTTTGGCATTTCGCTTGATTGACCTTTATAATATATGTTTCACTGTATATGTGTATAAATTGCTACTTTATACATACATTACTTGTATCGAATTGGCTGATGTCGGAGTCTTGTGATGCGGTGTACACGCTGGTGGCACGTGTGGAATGATGCGAGGTTTCTCTCGGCTTGCTTTCAGTGACGATACTGGCCGTCTTCAGTGATCTCAAGGTGGATGTCGACGTCTATGCACTTATCTTTGGCGAGAGTGTGTTGAACGATGCGGTTGCCATCGTTCTTGCTGGGTAAGTATATGTGCGCCTTACCCGCTGATAGACTACACACCGTACAGGGTAAATGACCACACACACTTACAGGATGAAAGTTCCAGGAGGTTACGGTGATGTGGCAGGGTTTATTCCCTGTAGGCAGTTGAGCAGAGAAGGGTGGGGCCCTACTACTCTTACTAGAATTTTTGGTTAATATAAAAGTATTATGTTGTAAGCATGTTTCCGGTAAAGTTTTTTAGTGGCTTAGCTAAACGTGCTCTTTAGGCAAATGGCTTCTTTCCATGACGTCTGGTATATGCATTTATATATTTGGGTGCTCTCCCCTCCCCCAAGTTGCTCTGTTTTGTGTTACACTTTACCGATTGGGGGTGTGAAGATGAAGATTAATATACATGTCAGTGAATGGTGAACGGTGTGTGGTTATCGAACACGGTCTGAGGAAACATGGGCGTCGATGTTTGATCGTTTGCATCTCAGGTAAAATGCATTTGGCGTGGTTTTCAGTTCAGTTGAGAAGTTTATGATGCGACATGATGGGTAAGATCTGTTGAGACAGGATTGGTCCCCTACCCAACTAATCATTCGAACAATCGAAATAATATTTTCAGGGTTCATAGAAATTAGCTATAGGATGTTGCATGAGAATATTAACTTCATAGTGAATTGAGGAGCCTATAAATTTAATGCAAGAAATGGAATACACATACTTACAGAAATGTGTCAAATGCCTGTAGAGCATGTTTGCATGTATGTAAATACACTCACTAATGTTAGTTCCTCACTTTACTCATGAATTAAGAGTAATTTTCTTTTAAGATAACTTCCAAGTATATTGACCAGTTAACAACAATTTCAACAACTGATCTACCTGTCTTTGTCAAGCTAAATGCAATTCTTTGAGCTTGCCACCAGATAGCAGTAGGTTTAGGTTGACAAAGACATCTAGACAGGTTATTGTAACTTTCATTAACAGGTTGATATATTACTTGGATTTATCTTGAAATAAAATTATTTTCAACATCATTAAATCTGATGTGCTCACTCAAAGATTTACTCATGTATGGATATCTAAAGCTTAATAACTCCCTGCCTGATGCAAATTAATATCTCTCTTGCTGTGGATTTTCGTAGCAGTCTAATTGTGCCCTAAACATAGCTTCTAGTCTACATAAACGTTACATGCAGAATGCACATACGTTCCAACTTCCAGCTTAAAGAAACTCACAGTGCAGAACGCTAACACCAGTTGCTGTTAACCTGCTGTTAACCTGTTAACGTAGTTGCTGTGATCGTACACAATGTGTGGTTTTATGTGCCCGGTTGTCAAATATTTTGCAAGGAATAATTATCGAAAAATATTCTGTATGGCATGCTATTATTTCTGATCAGCGTTTTAAGATACAACTTCTAAAGTTTTCTGGTTTGAAACTAGCATATTTTTATGCATATGGCGACTAAGATTTTGTAACAGTGTCTAGATGCATAGAAATGTTTGAAAGGCACACATGTGATTTTGCATATCTAAGCACATTGCATATTTCTGCACAAGTTTTTCTCATTATGCTTCTATAATATATATATATATATATATATCCAATATAATATATATATATACATATTTCACGCTGGCTATAGCTTAAAACGACGGCACTTCTTTCGCAACCTAGGCTCCAT